TTGCTTTGCTGCAGCTGCACAGGAGATTGCACAGCAGCCAGCTGAAGAAGCAAGCACCGGGGTGGATTTTTTTCCTATTGACCAGCAGAAGATGCAAGGAAGCAGAAGTGGCTTCTAGCCACCTTTGTAGCCTATAGGTTTCAGGTTACCGCAAGGGCTGCAGTAGTCCACAGAGAGTCAGAAATGCCTAAGGGCTCTGGTTTGTAGCAGCAGCTTCTCAGGAGAATTTCCTGCAATTTGGGACAAAATATACAAGAAAACAACTGAGGAGATGGTCAGTGATAAGGGGAATGGAGACAGACTGGCTTGCTGTTTCTTACCTTAGTGGCTTAGTGCACCTGTGCTAATTCTGGATGAATCGACATTGTTCGTCCATTGCAGCGAGTCTCCTGGAGTTTTTCATACTCACAAGGGCTCAGTATTTACCTGTGCAGGAAATGTTGGGATCCAGCATGGAGAAAGAGAGTGGAGTCACTTTGTCGACATGTCCACTAGCAAACAGTGCTTGTTTTCATCACGAGTGAGGCAGGAGATGCAGAAACCTTTTCTTCCACCACTGTTTCCTGCAGCTGTGCCCAGGCAATATCACCATGGCCTAGAGCTATAGCCTGAGCTTTGCTTGATCTGAAACTTGCTCCAAGACAGATAAAAATAGGGCTTGGGCTCCAGCCAAGCTGTGTAACGGGTGAGGGTGCCGCCTCCTTAGCCTGTTGCAACGTGTGACTCTCAGTAGCTGTACCATGCCTTGGGTCACCAGACCTACAGAGAGATATAAAAGCGAGGGCACGCTGCCTAAGTCCCAGCTGCCATGATGTGGACAACATGCGGGGGGTGGGGACGGCTTGCCCAGAGGAGACTTCCTGCCGAGGGCAGTTTAAGGAAAGACGCCTGAGCAAAGCCCTCGCAGCCGTTTAGCCCGTTTGTTTGTGCTGTGCAGCAGCAGAGTTGTAGGGCTGTGCTGAGCAGCTTGCAGGAAGCTGCTAGAGCTAGGTGTGAGCTCAGGGCCTGTGCTGAGAGCGGCATGTGCTCCCCCTTAATCTTCTGGGCCAACTATGCCAGTTAATGAGGTGAGATTTGGTGGAAAATGGTCGCAAAAGAGACCCTCTGCAATAGGCACTAGGATGATCATTTTCCAGATGCTGAAGGCATATTAAAAAATAGTAGCCTTGAGTGGAATTTCTACCATGTCCTCTGTTGAGTCCCATTTCTGATTTCTCTGCTTGTTCCCGCTAGTCTTTTTCTTCCTGTCCTCCTCCGCTTTCTCATGCTCCCTCGCAGACTAGCAAATTCTTCGGATACCAGGAAGCCTTGTGTCATGAACACAAAGCCCATGTGGTTTTGCTATTTAATCGATTGCTGACAAGGTTGAGTGAGTTCAGCGCAAGAGCCCCGTTGCTCAGCGCTGCCTCCCAAAGTCCTTTCGCGTTTGAAGTTTTAAGTTCTCAGGAGCCGGCTATCCCACGCCTGTCACAAGCGTTTCGCTTTAAGCAGGTAGAGCTTAGAAGAGCGAAATGAATGGCCGCAGCTCTGAAGGCTGTCGTGCCTGCCTTAGTAAGCAGCACGCGACAGATGTTTAGGTGGAGCGTAACCCGCAAGTAATTGCAGCGTGAAGATCGTTGTGAGGGCGTTCAGCGGCGCAGGCCGTGGTTAAACTTCCTTTCTTTCTTCTTCCTTTCTGGCCTTGCTCTCTCGCTTCCCTCATGTCCATGAAAAATTACTTCAGCTTTCAGCTCATGTCGGGGGCGAGCGTTCTCGACGTGATGCGCTCACTCAAAATCAAGTTGCAGTTTCCCTGCTTCACGTGTCGCCCCGTTAGAGGTTGGTTACCTGGCTCTTCTGTTAAGGGGCCCTGTTAAGCCAAACGGAAACAAACTATGTATCTGTATGCACGTCCTTCTTTCCCCAGCGCTGACAGGAAGAAAGATGCCTGGAGAGAGATAAACCCCCCACGTTTGACCTAAGACGATATAGGTGGAACAGAAAAGGTTGTTTTTACAATGTAATTGATATACCGGAGTATTAAAACAATGTTGACCTCATGACAGAAGTATTTTCTTCATGCTTTACGTTGCCGGCTTGCCCACAAGAAAACATGGTTGGAGTCCACCTCCATTCCCCCCCCTCGCCCCCGGCTCAGCAGAAAATACCTGCGGACAAGTTTGCCGGTGACCGCGTTCGCTCCCGTAGGTTACTCGTCACACGGCAACCCTGCGCCGGCATGGGCCGCTCCTGGCA